CCTCATCTTTCTCCTGGGGAGTGGCTGATGGCTTAGAACTGCTGGGATCATTTGGTTAACAGCCCAGTGCCTCTTGAGCTCCTTTATACCTATTTAGTTACTTTTAAAATACTAAGGGCTTTAGTTTCTATTGACACATCTGCTTATATCATGTTTCCTTTTCTTTCTTTTTTTTAGGTATCCCAAAGGCATCCATGTTGAGACTTTAGAAACTGAAAAGGTAACCCCAAGGATTACCCAAGGCTAACATTAAACTCTTCAAATGATATGTTGCTACCTTGAATGCCAGGATTTTAACCTTGGCTGTGTTTGTTGGCCTTGACTTAATCAAAGTCATTTAACCTGTCTACACCTCATTTTCTCATTAGGTGACTGGTGTGGTACATGAATGATGATGTACCTTTTTTTAAATTTTTAAACCATGATCAATGGTTAACAGTGAACTTGCTTTATAAACTTGAAAGTATACAAATATTAGTTCATGTTCTTACTATGGCTGAAAGCAATCTATAATGGTTTTTATGAATAAAAGGGATTCATGTTATGTGGCCATGTAAATGAACTTGTAGAACCTGAGTCAGACTCAATACGTAATTATCTTCATTTGAGTATATGATACGGTACCCCCCACCAAAAAAAAAAATACAGAAAAAAAAGCTCTGGGAAGAACTTTCATAATATGCATTTTACGTGCTAGACAAGCATTGAGCAACTTACTCTGAGTTAGTGCACCCAGTGGTGTCCCCTGGGAAGGTTCTCTTTACTCACAGTGAGTTTTTTCATAAAAGCAGTTTGCTCTGAACCTTGTGTTTTGTGATGACTGATTTAAGAGAACAGCATGCGTCTGTGAAATTTTGCTTTCTGCTTGGGAAAAATACCGTAGAAACTGTTGTGATGTTGAACACAGTTTAGAAGGACAGCACAATGGGAAAAACTCAAGTGTGGTTTTCTCGGTTCAAAAAAAGTGAAATATTGATTGATGACAAACCTTGTTCTTGATTTTTGTCAACAAAAGTGTTGACAAATTTTATGCAATTTTCCTCAAAGACTTGATGATGTTCCATTGAAGAGATAGGGAAGTTATCTAGATTATCTTGGAGCTTGGTCAGCAAATTTTAAGGGAAGATTTGGGAATGAGAATGGTTGCTGCAATATTTGTGCCTTGGGTTCTCACTGACCAGGAAAAGAACTCGAGTGGAAACATGCTGTGCTTTGAAAGAACAGCTTTGAAGCAACCCAGACTTTTTTCCAAGGTTATTATTGGTGATGAGACATGGTGCTATTCTTATGACCCTGAAAGCAAACATCAAACCAGTGGAAAACACCATTGTCACCTTGTACAAAAAAAGTTCGTCAAGTGAAATTAAAGATCAAGACTGTGTTAGTCCAAATTGACTAGAGAAACAAATTCATAGACATTCATATGTGTATAAGAAAGAGCTTGATCTAAAAGAGCTGCTATGTATTAGAAAACATCCTAACTCTGTCCAGATCAAGTCCGTAAGTCTGATATTAGCTCCTATGTCCCATACAAGTCCATGAATTCATCTTTAGACTCGTGTAGCACATGCAATGGTGCTGAATGCAGGAAGATCACGGGCCAGCGGGTAGAAGGTCTTGTGTATCTAGTGGTGGTAGAAGCATCTGAATGCTAGCCTGGGTCACCATGCATCTCCTCCAACTCTGAGTGTCTCAACAGCAGGAAAAGGAAGGCAGAGAGAGTGGGTCTGGCCTCCAGTGAGCTATTTATCTCCATTGCGCTTCCAAATGAGGTCATCAAGCTGCAACCTGATTGACAGGCTAAATTCCACCCCTTCGCTCAAGTTGATGTAACTGCCACAATGACGATGCTCATTTGCTCTTTTGAAGTGAGGGGGATAATGCATTCGGAGTTCCTTCCATCATGTCAGACTGTTAATCAAGCATGCTATTTAGAAGTTCTGAAAAGATTTCATAACAGTGTGTAACAAAAAAGGCCTAATTTGTGGCAGACGGGGGACCGTTTTTTTGCCACCACAACAGTGCACCTGCTCATGCAGCCATTTACATTTGACAGTTTGGGGAGCACCTTACTACTTGACCTTGCTCTGTGGGACTTCTTTTCATTTCCATGAGTGCAGAGGGACATAAAAGGACAGCAATATGAGGGCACAGAAGAGGTGAAGGAAAAACGAGGGTGCTTCTGTCAGTCATCCAAACATGAGTTTGGAAAATGTTTCCAAGAATGGAATAGCAGATTTAACAAATGTATTAAGTGTAATTGGAGAATCCTTTGAAGGTGATAAGGTTGTTTTGTAAAAAACTTTAAATGCATGC